CCCTACCTAATGGTCCTAGAAATGGTTCATATCACAAAAGATATTTCTCACAGAATGCTTGTAACAAGATATTGCATCCTAGAAACACATAGAATAGCTTCTGTGATAAGGTCAGAGGAGAAAGTATTTCAGAACCACTACAGATTTCCCATAAAATATTTTAAAAAATGCCAGACTCTTACCACAGTCTCTGACACAAACTGGTCCACATATTGCCATTTAAGGGGTTCATCTGCTGAACTAGAAGGAAAAAATAATTTCAAATAATGGGGCCAAAATAAATGTCAATGTATTCAAGAAGACACTTTGGAATGCAGCCTTCTAGTCTGCACCCACAACTTTCTTTGGATACCATTCACAACAACTGGTTTATTTTCCAGTAATTTAAATACAACATCAAAAAAACATACCATTATTTACGCTAGTAAAGCTGGTCAAACACAAAGGAGGATAAAAGGAGGATAAAACCACCTGAAGTGAAATGATTTTAGGATCTCTAAGAAAGGCTGTAAAAATAACCATAACAACTTGAACAGCTTACACAAATGTCGATGCAGAGAGACATTTCTCAAACATTCCATATAAAGAGTCAACTTCTCAAGAAAAATTGGAAGAGGAGACTAATTTCAAGTTTTTCTAAGCTCTGAAGCAATCCCCACATGCTACATACTTAGAGAAGCAGTGAAGCTCTCTGTTCAGCTAGGTGCATCGATAATTAAATTCCCAGGAAATATCCATGAAAGATGAGGAAACAGAAATTGGATCGAGAAGGCAATTGGCATAAAAAGTCAGATTTCTCAAGCAAGACGTCTGCCCATTTATTACAAAGGACATGACATTTTAATGAGCATTCACACATTTTTATAATGAAACACAGATTCCTTGGATAGAAGAGGCTAAGTGAAAATGAATAACCTAATTTGTTTTCAAATTAAATACCATTACCTTTTGACAGGTATCATGCCAACATCTGAAAAAGAAAAATACTCTGTTAAGTTTCTATAGACCACCAGCAATCTATTAGTAGCAATTTGGAGCTAAATCTAATTGGCAGTCAGTCACTAGTGGTGTTCCCCAGGGCTCTGCATTGGGGCTGGGCCTATTTAACACCTTTATTGATGATCTGGACATGGGGATTGAGTGCACCCTCAGTGAATTTGCAAGTTGGGTGGGAATGTGGATCTCCCTGAGGGTAGGAAAGCTCTACAGAGAGACCCGGACCAACTTGGCCAACAGGCTGAGGACAACAGCATGAGGTTCAAAAAAGCAAAGTGCTCCTCCTGCATTTGGGACACAGCAACCCCATACAGCTACAGGCTTGGGGAGGAGTGGCTCGAGTGTTGTTTGTCAGAAAGGGACTTGGGAATGCTGGTGGATAGTGGCTCAGTATGAGCCAACAGTGTTCACAGTTGGCCAAGAAGGCCAATGGACAAGGTGGCAGCAGGACCAGGGCAGTGATCATCCCCCTATACATGGCACTGGTAAGGTCACATCTCGAGTGCTGTGTTCAGTTTTGGGCCCCTCACTTAAAAAAGGACATTGAGGCTCTGGAGTGAGTCCAGTCAAGGGCAACGAGGTCAGAAAAGGCCTAGAACACGCCATGTGAGGAAGGGCTGAGGGAGTTGGGTTTGTTTATCCTTGAGAAGAGGCTCAGAGGTGACCTTGTGGCTCTCTACAACTACCTGACAGGGGCTTGTAGAGTGGTAGGGGATGGTCTCTCCTGCCATGGTCATGAGGGAATGGTCCTAAGCTGAGACAGGGGAGATTCAGATTAGATGTTAGGAAAAATGTTTTCCCTGTTAGGGTGTTCAGGCACTGGAATAGGTTGCCCAGGGAGGTGGTGGAGTCACCATCCCTGGAGTGTTTAAGAGGTGTCTGGATCTGGTGCTGGAGGATATGGTTTAGGGTTTAAGGGGTACAGAAGTGGCAGGTTAATGGTTGGACTTGATGATCTTAAAGGTCCCCTCCAGCCCTGATGATTCTATGATTCTAATCTTTGATGATACACGTGCTTTTTTTTTTGGTGTTACTTACGTCTCACTTTGATGGAAACTACTTTCTTTGTACGAATGAGGTTTATGACTTCCTCATGTGTGCATGATGAAATGGAATATCCATTTATACGAACTATCTCATCTCCAACCTAAAAAATTAAAGGGAGAAGAAAAAGAATTGTGACTTAATATTTCAGAAGGTTTTCAAGCAATGATACAATCTAGCAATTTTTTGATGCAGAAGTTTGATAAAGTTGAGTCCTTAATACTTTCTGAATTTCAGGTAATGTCCACATCAGATTTACCTGTATTTATTTAGACTTAAAATTGAACACAAAAAGGGCTAAATAACAATTTTACAAATACTATCTAGTCTCTACATATCAGACTTGTACTCCAGAGATTACCTTAAATACAAGTGTCCATGTTTTAATTCAAGTAATTTTTTAGCGATTTTCTTCCTTTATACTTCCGCAATTTAAGTTTGGTTTTATCATATGTTTTCTGAGATATCTTCTTAACTGATTTTGATCAATAAGAAACGTAATTTGGTCTTATTACCTTGCCTGATTCTGGATTCAGAAAATGCATTATTTTAATGGAATTTACCTCTTTGTCTTTGTTTAGGAACTATGCTAACATTTATTGGCAATCAAATGGCAGCACCACAAGAACCTTCCCTGGCAGTGTTCACTTTCCTAGTGTAGAACATACAAGGTGCCATAGGCTTTCAGTCACTCCTCTAAAATTTCAAATCTAACTTTTCAGAATACAATCAAAAGGCATCCCTTCCTCCAATATAAACCCAAATTTGATATGCTATGATGACTAAACTAGAAATTTTCAATTTTCTATGAATTCTGCCTAGTGATACTCTTAGCTAGGCAGGCTGCAAAGCAATCAGTGTTAGAGACATCGCCTACTTCATTTAAGGTTGCACCTTATTAGCTGCTCAAGATAACACTGAAAAATGTCAGGTTGTGGCCAGAGCATTATAAGAAAAGACTTATACTTCACATGATCAGCATGACATAGCTGTATAAATGCTAATATATGATTTCCTTCATTAGGCAATGCAAATCAATCCACTGCACAGTAAGATATACAAATGATTACCAGGAAACTAACAAACCATTGACAGTATCATCTTATACCTTTGTACTTAAATCTCCACAAGGACAAAGTCAAATGCTTTGACTTTACTGCTCTCCAGTAGTGTTTCCTCTGAAGTACCCTGAATAAGTATTACATAAAATGTATCAAAATGCCACACGGATAGTTGACAGGACTTTTCTCATTACCATCAACAGCACAGGATTTTTTTCTTAATCAATGAAACTTTGTGTTCCTCCTCACAAACATCTCTGCTTTCATGGCAGCATTATGCCTAGTTAATGATTGCCTAAAATGTTCCACTTAAAGACTCAAGTTTCAAGCTCCCAAATTTCACTTTAGGCATAAGTTTTCCATGCTGGTATCTATATCAAGCGGATTTCAAGTTTCAGCAAAGCTAAATCAACTAGCTTTAGTCAACAAAATTAGGGTGGAATACTTACACTACAAATTAAGAGCATTAGTTTTACATTCTTAATGAACACTTTTATTGAGTGTAGGGGAATAGGCAGGTTCATCATAACATGCTTGGTGAAATTTAGGTAATATAAAGACTGGCTATACTAGTTCTGATCTGGGGCAAACTTCCCTTTCATCCAGTTGCTTTGAGACTGCTGGTGTACCAGTTCCTGGCAACAAGATCAGTTAACAGACTTTCAACTGCTGCTCCAGAAGATCAGGAAAGTTGGCTGTGCCAGAATGCAGGAATAGGAAGGAATGAGAAGCTTCATTCAGCCATAAACTACTGAGATGGTGCAAAAAAAATTGCCATTGTGCAATGACCACTATCTGCTTACAGAATCAAAGACTTCATAAAGAATCCATTACAGTTTTATAATAAATATTGTAATCTTTAATGCATTTATTAAGACTGTGCCAGCTTAGATAATATTGTGACCTATCTTTTTAATATAACAGTATGCTTTTTTTCTTTTGAGCCAGATACTTCTGTCTTCCCTATAGAAACTTTCCAGCTTTACTGTCACAAAGGTAATGCCACCAATCTTGGTCAGTCTAAGTAAGTGCTCTACTGTGACTATAGAGACTAAATCACACAGTGACACGGTTCTCTTCATCACACCAGGTTGAGGGGAGTATCTATGACTGAAAAAAGTGAAGAAGTTCCAGTTTAGGTCACTTGTACCTTGCTAACAGTTTTAGAGAGGAAAAAAAGGCCACAATTGGATATTCCTCCTCTGGCACTACACAGGTCAGCACTGAAGCCTAAATTTGCATCACCACATTTATGTGGGAGGAGTGAGTGGAACTGGAAGTATGAATTTCTCAGTATAGGCTGTGTCTTAGAGACTGTCATATTAACACAAACTGTGATAGGTCTACCCATGGGTGACAGGACATTGGGCATGTTGTCACCTCCTACCTATTTTCATATGCAATAAGTATTATTGAGTCTTCCCACTGTGATCTGATCAATTGAAAAAAACCCAACCACAAACAACAAAACAAGAAACCACCCACTTATCTCCTTTACTTCTTTCACAAGCTTTTCTAAACCTTCTGGGAAGTGCCATATGCTCTACAATCATGCACAAAACTTGAACAACACATCCACTCTACCAGCATAGCTCATGTAGCACATTTTCCTCTGCACTGAAGCTGAAGATTTTAATCTGACACAATACAGCACCAGCAGGCTACAAAAGCAAAGAAAATGCATCCTGACCCTGTCCTGCAGGAGAGGACACACTCCCACAGGCAGAACAGGAGGTTCTCTGCAGCCCCTGACCAGTGGGACAGTTGCTCCCTCTGCTGGACATCTACAAAACCTCATCCAGGGCAATGACCTGCGCTCCTAAAGCCTGATTGTATTTAACCCAATCGGATTTTCAAAATGATCCTTAAGAAGTGCAGCAATAGGTCAGTACCGAAGGCTATTGAACATACAACCTGTGGTAAAAAATGCAGAGTCAGACAAGGAAAAGCACATAAGTTCTGGAGTTTAGTGTTGCAACCCTAATAGCTCCCACTATGAAAGAACACTCAATCCACTCATCCCAGAGGCCTGGCAGATATGCCACTGCAGTCCTCTTTTTCCCTGAAAGTACACCATGAAATTCTAAGCTGGTTCCCCATCCCAAAAACGAGAAGGTTTATTTCCCTTATTAGGAAATGCTTTTTCCTAGGGAAAGTGGTCACAGTCCAAAGCCTTCCAGAGTTCAAGAAGCATATGGACAATGCTCCCAGGCACACGGTGTGATTCTAGGGACTGTCCTGTGCAGGGCCAGGAGTTGGACTCCTAAGATGCTTGTGTGTCCCTTCCAACTTGGGATGTTCCATGATTCTATGAATTCAGCCTAGAGCTGTTCCATTGCCCGTAACAGTTCAGGAAATCCATTGTGAATAGTGGGGTTTTAGGTCTCAAATTAGCTCTGGCAACGCAACTGTACTACCAGAAGCTGTGGCACCACCCATAAAGGCTCACATATTCTACAAACTGTAAAGACTCTCAGACTATTTGGGATTCTGCTCGTTATAGTAGAAAAAGGTAGGAAACTGAGTGTCCTCTGCTTTTCAAAGGAACATTGAGTTCCTTATTAATAAAATGCTCAAAATGCCTCTCCATTCCCACCTCTGGCCTCTCTCTGGATTACTCTCTGGATACAGCAAACCATGAAGCCTGGGTTTGCACAACGCATCTCTTTAAAAGGCTCTTTTTTAACACTCCTCCTTGCTGAATTTCAGGAGTTAAATGACTGTCTAGTACTCTTCATTCAACCTAATGACATTTGTGTTACTGGCTGACAATGACTGATGGTGCTTTAGAAATAACTCAATCTAGGCTGAACTACAGGAGATGTATAGGCATGTAACAAACTGCTTCTCTTCAGGACACTTGAACAGCTTTTCCTGAACAAAGGTGTCTAACACCAGGGTAATTAATAGTTGTTGTCATATATTTTGTTACTTTTGTACTGGTATCACTAGTATACCAACCTAATGAATCAGAAGCAGTAGAGATAAAAGTCTGCAGAATTGAGTAGAGTAGAACAGTAACAATTATTTTGGTATTATATATCACAGTTTCTCCTTTCCCTATCAAACAGGGAGATGACAGACTTTCCAAAGAAAAGATGCAAACCTAACTTTTCCCAAGTAAAATGCCTATTATTCGTAACTTTTTACATAAGTAATATAATATTTAGTGCTTCCAGGAAATTAAAGGGGGTTTATATAATAACATCATTGTTTCAAATTTCTCATTTTGTATCCTTCTTCCACTTTCATCATTCATACCAATCTCCATCTCTTTGTATTCAGCAGAATCCCCACACACATAAGTATCAGAAAGCAGTGCAGAGGGGGGAGATGAAGTACATTTCTTCATGAAAGGACAAAACACTTGTGCCTTTTAGAGAAACTGTAGTCAAAAAAGGGTCAAAACTATAAATGCCACATTGAGCCTTCATGATTATCTACTCATTTTAGTGTTACTTGGGAACTACTTCAAGGAGAACTCATGCAATTTTTTTAAAAGCAGCGGGATGTAAAACTGATGCTATAATAGAAGATCATTATACCTTTCTCAGACAGCATTTTTGGGATAGAAAATGTGTAGAGATTTAGTTAAATAAAGCAGGTGGGTGAAATTTCAGAAGCAGTTGGCTTTACTGGGAGACAGCAATTTAGAACAATGGACTGCCTGTCAGGTCTTGTTATTCAGTGAGGTTCAGAAAGTGCCTAGTGCCACCTATTATTCAGGGACTTTAGGCTGAGCTTTAGCACCACGTATCAAAAAACGGAAGTCAGGCAGCCACAGGAGCTGCGAAGCACCATCTGCTCACATTCATTCCCATAATCTAGCCCTAACGAATTCATAGTCAGTCTCAAGCATATTTCCCCCTTATTGTCTTTACTGCCAGACTCTAACCATGTTCTGAGTTGCAGTACAATCTGAACAACCCAGCACAAAGATCCTATACAATCCCATTCACTGACACCAACATGGAGTACAAGGACCTCAGTCACAGAAAGCCACCAGGGTCTTTTTGTGTACTGAGAAAGCAGGAAAACTGACATCTTTACAATAGCACAACACCTGAGCATAACTCCTTATCTAGCAATTGTGTCATGACATTGGCCTGAAACAAGCAGAGATGCAACACAGCATTAAGAGGAATATACGAGCATGAGAGTTGAAGTCCTTTATTTCTCAGCATCATTCATGGCTTCCAGTATTTTCCAAAGCCATGGAAGCCATGGAAGAGACTGGTGCTTGTCTATTTCTCAGTTTTCTAGCAGTGGAGGAAAGATGCAGCTGGAATCTCTCTACTGAGCAAACCACAACCCAGGAACAAGTCTCTTGTCTACATTTTCCTGTGTCCTGTAGTAGATGAGGTACACAAGCTTTTGCAGTGTGAACTCTGGGACGGTGCATCAATGCTCTTTTCTGGAGTTATCTTCTGACAAATTCCACCCTTAAAAGTAGGCTGCCAACACATTCAGGACAGTGTTTGAGGTGTCCTATAGCACCCTCTCAGTTCTAACTACATACAGAATTTGTAGTTTTGTACTAAGAATGAGTTTCTGAAGAATCCAGAGGGCCAATTGTGTCTGTCCAGAGCAGGCTGACAGAAGATAGGACTAAGCCAATGATGATTCTCAATAGGATATATGGGTATGAAAGCACAAACAAAAGGGCAAATGCATGCAGAGTGAGGAACAGTTTGACTGCCTTGTTGACAGATTTATTTTTTAAAATCTAAGACAGTCATGGGGTTATACTGAAGCATATCTACAAAACAAGTAAGTGTAATGAAACACTAATGAAACATGTCACTCTAAAATATTCTGGACTAGTATTAAACAAAATGCTTAACCATCAACACTTTCGGCAAATATTCAGGCTGGACAAATTAAAATTAGCCAGGCATATTAGCCTTTCTCCTCAGAAACTCAGACCTTTTATACACGTTATCAGATTCAAAGGCCTAGAAAGGTGCAGACATCTACCATAGCAAAGGCTCACTTCTCTCTTCACTAAACAATGACACATTCAAAAAAGAAGCCAAACACCCAAACTTCATTAATGCAACTTGCATAAGTACTGATCTAGAGAAAAAGAAGTGTTTCTATACATAACTCTTTTTGCCAACGTTGTAGGCAAATTCATGTATCAAGAATTCAATCACCAAGAGTGCAATTCTGTGCAGTACAAGGGATACTGGGAATGGTTAAAAATAGGTTATTGCATAAACCAGAACTCGCACAATTTATACAGGAAGTTCAAACAAACATTACATTACACAAGTTTTATCTGTGCAAGGTAGAATTAACATTTTTAGTATTTATATGCTCTGTTCCACATTTAATCAGAATTTGGCAACTTAAAACAATCTTCCACTGTCTAGAGATCTTTCTTCCCATCTGCTTACACTTCACTGTTGCTACTCATGAAGCATAAACATTGCAGAAAAGTGTTTAATCTTCAAAAATTACCATATCCCAAATAAGAAAAAATTAGTTTTAGTTGAAAACAGTGAAATGAACAGTTTTACCGATTTGATTCCCCATTGGTATAATGGTATTCACTATGGCAATGACTTATGTATATTACGAATTTTATTAGACGAGACAAAGAGCACCTTAGCACTAGCAATTTCTAAATGTTAAGAACAGTCCTTAGCACCTAACATTACACGAATATAATTTTTTTACCTGCAGTCCAGTATTGTCTGCCTGTCCTCCTTTAACTAACTGGGAGATGAAGAGGCCACAGCCGAATTCCACTCCACCTCTCACACTTAGTCCAAGCCCTTCAGGATCCAAACGATCCAATCTCACTTCTTTCAGCTTTCTGCAAAAATGGAAGATACTTGACTGTTCAGATGCATAACACCTTGTGACAATAATGTTAGACATTTTTTTCTATTATATTATTTCAGAATTTAAAAAAGCAAGCTGAATGGTCTGAAGTTGTGTCAGGGAAGGTATAGGCTGGCTTAGAATATGGTTCTTCCCCCAGAGAGTGTTTGGGCACCGGAACAGCTCTCCAGGACAGTGGTCACTGCACCAAGTCTGACAGAGTCCAACAGATGTTTGGACAATGCTCTCAGGCACATGATGTGATTCTTGGGGATGTCTTGTGCAGGGCCAGGAGTTGGACTAGATGATCCTAAAGGGTCCCTTCCAACTGATCATGCTGTGATTCTGTGTGACTGACCTTTGGATTGATGTGGGTTAGCTAAAGCCATCAAGCATTATTCATATGAGAAGACATCTGCAACCTCTGAAGCTGCCTGCTCCTAGCAGGTTAGAGCCATGAGAATTTTTTTATTTCTAAATGCAGGATAAAATACTGGTTTTGACTCACTTGCTCTGCTTTTACTAGGTTAAGTACCCCTGTACTGGTAAGGTCACACCTCAAGTGCCGTGTTCAGTTTTGGGCTCCTCACTTTAAAAAGGACATTGAGGCACTGGAGCGAGTCCAGCCAAGGGCAGTGAGGCTCAGAAAAGGCCTAGAACACATGAGGAAGGGCTGAGGGAGTTGGGTTTGTTTAGATTCGAGAAGAGGCTTGGGGGTGACCTCATGGCTCTCCACAGCTACCTGAGAGGGGGTTGTAGAAAGGTAGGGGATGGTCTGTCCTGCCATAGCTGCAGGGAGAGGACTAGAGGGAATGGCCTTGAGCTGAGACAGGAGACAGTCCGATTCGATGTCAGGAAAAATGTTTTCCCTGTTAGGATGTTCAGGCACTGGAATAGGTTGCCTAGGGAGATGGTGGAGTCACCATCGCTGGAAGTGTTTAAGAGATGTCTAGATCTGACTCTGGAGGGCATGGTTTAAGGCGTAGGGGTTACAGCAGTGACAGCTTAATGGTTGGACTTGATGATCTTTGAGATCTCCTCCAACCCTGATGATTCTACGAACTACCGGACAAACAGTTTTAGATAGCTGTACTTAGAGCAAATATAGAAAAAGTAAAACAGCTATGCCCAGCTCTACACAGCTGACCGATATTTTACTCAGAATTTATGTGAAAACTCAGCATTTCCTGCTTGTATATAAGTTAGCTGCATTTTTCTGCATTCTCTTACCGTGATCTTCTGGGTGTAAGCTGATCATATTCCACCTGGTGTTTTAACGGGATAAGTGGACGGATAGCATCAAATAGAGGCAATCTGCTTGGTTCATTAATCACGAGTTTTAGGTCCCCCACAAGCACAGGGAGATTCATAGATCTACAAAAACACAGCAAAAAGCCAAGCACAGGTAATCAACACACCAAGACAAAGCATGATTTTATAAGTTGATAAATATTTGACTTCAATGTTTGCATGTCCCTTCAAGCTACAAAAAAAGTTATTCATGCAGACACTTGTCTAACCAAAGCCACATAGCCTCTCAGAAAGCAAACCTTCTGTAAGCAAAGAGGAGTAACAACTACTTGCTTCAAAATACCTGAAATCTCCTACATATTGCCTTTATCTTTTAAGGTCATGCACAGCACATTTATAGATGACATCTTGAATTTCATTTTCAGAGTCCCCACAAGACTGAAGTAACTCTTTGGAAATAACTTTCCAGATTACACATACTTGCCTACTAGATTTTTGTTTCCTTACTAGCTAGGAATCCTTCTAAGTAAATCCAGGCTGCAAGTTTCTTCCTTTCCTGAAATTAGGGGACTGGCAAATTGTTTCAATCCAGGGAAAAAAAAATAAATCACAATACTCAACAGCTAGAGCAAAGCCTTTCTTTAAATTTACATTTTCTTTTATAAACTCAAATTTGAAGGGCAGTCAACCAATAAATGAAATCTACAGAAGTTAAACTGCTGTGAACATTTTTTTCATGAGAGCTATGCAAAGTGGTGTCCTTAATATTGTCAGCACTGAGATAGTTACAGGTCTACAAAATATACTTTGTTATACAACTGCAGGAGTGGATGAACAAATCCCCAAGGTTTATGATCCTATATAACATCCATTTAAACTTACCCTCTATTATTTGCTGTTCCCTTTCTTATAATTTACATTTCCTAATGTTCATATGCAATGAAAATACAGGTCAGGAATACCTACACAGGATTAGAGTTCAAATACTTCTGGAAATGCTACTCATAGTGAAGCAGACATTAAGTGTTAACTTCAACTGCAAATATTTTTGCCCTGGAATATTTCCTAATGTATTCCCAAGAAGGGATACATCATTGACATATGCTCAAGAAGAGACTGAAAATTTTGCCCAAGTCATTGTAATTTTGGAAATTGAAGAAAAGTTGCTATATGCATTGTTTACTTTGTAACTGCAAGGAGATTTTAAATAATTCAGAGCTACTGAATCAGTCAGCTTTCCAAACAACAGCCTTTATGAATGGAAAAGCAATTAGACAGACCTAAGTGAAACTGAATCAGATATGCAGCTGAATACCCCCATAACTATAGCTCAGTGCACACATCGGATGGAAACATCTACATTTCACTCAGCTGAGATGCTAATAATTAAGATATGAATGGAAACAATGTCTATCAGCGCCACTTGTCTATGATGAGCGGAAAATACCTTCTCATCTTCTTTGAAAAACAGTGGATCAGAGGTTGATGTCATTTGGACACAAGTCCATAGCAACTGTGGTTTAAATCAGTTCAGCAAAAGAACTCGTAAAGCCCTATCACTATACCAATTTTTACCATTGTGGTGTAATGAGGCAGTCATTAAACATGCCAAACAGATTTCAAGACAAAACTTTTTCAGGTTTCTGAAAAACAGTTGCAGACTTTTTATCTGAATAGTTCTTTTTATCTGAATACTTAGCAGAAGTCATTGAAAAGCAATCTGGATAAAAACCTCTGGAGCAAATAAATAAGCATTCTTTTGAACTATTAAGGAATTTGATTATTGCTCTCTTCCAGTTTCCAACAGTTTTATCATCCAGGTGCTTTCCCTCCTCCCCAGTACAAATCCACCACATTCTTTCCAAAACTGCCAAGATGTAAACCCAAAGTAGCTTTATAGGTGATTACAGACATACTCCTTCCTTCCCTCCAGGTTATGCAGTAAAGCCATAAGACTTCATTAAACAGGATAAAAACTATTACTTCAGCTACTTTTCTAGTAACATGTAGAAAACCCACTTAAAATCTTGAATATTCACTCTTTAAATTTAAAAGCATGAGTAAAATTCTACACAAATCTTGAATATTCACTCTTTAAATTTGAAAGTATGAGTAAAATTCTACATAAGCATATGGAAAGCTAGATCTTACTGGTGGTACATCCGCAGCACATCATAAAGGTAATCCTTCTCCGCTTCATTGTCGATTAGTAGATTAACCTGAAAACCCAAGGACATTATCATAAATCTCTGACTAAATAGCCACAAATATTGAACATAAAAGACTTTCATAGGCTCTTAAGCCACAGAGCAAAGATTTCCTCAGGGAAAGACTTAAAGACTTTTGCTTGTGCAACAGAACATTACCTCACAATGCCACACTTGAAACAAGACTGTCTGAAATTAGTATTACAACAACTGGACAAGGTGGCAAATATTCTGCATGCTAAATTTCCCCTCAGCAGTAATATTATTACAATAATATCGTATTTGTCTTACCTGGTAATCACTGAACTCTTCAATAAATGTCTTCAGAAACCTTTTTGGCCATTCATTAATATAGCACATGCTGTCACAGATAAAACCACCACACTGATACAATCTATGTCCTGTCGTCCAAACCACCAATTTCAGGATCTCACTTCTAACATTATGCAAACTGCCACACCTCTGTTCCTCTTTGCTCCAGCTCTTAACCGATAGAACCTGCTAGTTACTCCTTCCTCCCCCACTAATAGTACGTTTACTTAAACCAGTGTCATATTACTATGCCTGCTCTTGGATAATTACAGGAAATTAAAGCCAAAAAACCCCCCCAAAACACTTATATAAAGAGTTCAATTTATATTCAGTGGTAGGGAGACCCCCCCACTAATCTTGCTTGCAGTGAGAGGTCACATCACATTAGTTTTACATCTGGATAAGTTAAATGTTTACAAAAACAATTTACATCTGACCTAAAGGCTAATATTACTGTGATGTGAAGACTGAGGAGCAATTTGCATACTTAAAGAAAGGACTTTTCTTTCTAGGTTTGCAATAATTTGAACTATATTCTAAACTAAATACATGCTTCATATTCCTTTTGTTCCACCCAGCTCTGTAAAGCCAGCAAGACCTCACATACCAGTGGTTTTCTATTACTTGTACCTTTTGGCTCTCTAAAGTTTACAAGACTTCACATACAGGTGGTTTTCTGTTACTTGTCTCCTCTGGAAAAAGAGACTTTCAGAACACCTAAAAGCCAAAAAGCTACATGCAGGACATGATTGCTTGACAGTAACACTAGTGTGTAAACCAATTTATTCACAGTGAATTTCAAAACATAGAAGATAAAGTCTGCCTTAAAAGGAAATAAAATGGGTGCAACCAAAGCTGACTGGTTCACTGATACTGTACACAGACTCAAGGCAATGTGATACATGTAAAACTAAGTCCAACTTCCATTTTTCCCTTCCCCAATAGGAAAAATACGACCTATAAATCAGCTTTGATTCTGGTACACAGAACTCAGTTTCTAGTGGTACTGGAGATTGGTAGCTGAGGTACTGTATGAGCAGTGTCTCATGAAGAACATTAAATGTTTAAGCGCACCAACCCTACCCAGCAAAAGGCAAAACCATCATCATGTCTTTTCCTGATGAGGAAAGCAAAGAGTAACGACATTCCATTTTTCTCCTGATATGCTAGCTGATGGACACATGCCAACTCCCTCTCAGGAAACAGAGGGCCATATCCAAATGCTGCTATTTCTTACAAAACATTCAGACTTCCTGCTTGATTCCTGCACATCTCACCCTGCACCAGCAACTTCTCATCCTCTTACAAAAACAAAGACCCAAATGACTTCTTACATATTCAGAACGCTACAGCTGGGTTAATCCTCCTGGGCCATCTCTCTAAATGGATCATTCTTCTCCTGCTGCCTATTTCATCAATTATCACAGCATCATAGCCAGCTGCATCTCTGACCATGTTCCTAATTCTATAACTCCTTGGGATAAAGTCTTACACTTTACCTAGGCTTAGCATCAACTTCTAAAAACTAACTCTAATTTCTTAAATCCTGAAAGATCGTTTCCCTCCATCTTAAGAAAAAAAATTAAAAATTCAGTGGTGACATGGTGTAACGTGGACCAGAGAAAAATTTTAGTATCTCTCTATTTCTCAAGAAAATAACTGTGGAGGTATGGGACAGATGATTTCACATCTTTTAAACCAAGGATATTAAAAAACCCCATCTGGACACAGTCATGGATAAGCTCCAACTTAGTGGCCCTGCTTGAGCATGGGGTTGGAACAGATGACTTCCAGTGGTCCCTTCCAACCTCAAACTTTCTGTGATTATTTAAATAATCTTCCTAACGGTTGTATAGTTTACAATCCCAATTATGCTCTCACTACATAAATTGCACTGGTTTTCACAGAAATTAATAACAAGTCATCACAAATTCTGCACCTACATACAAAAGAAAAATGAAATATGTCAGCAAGTCTGTATCAGTTTATTCAACGGGATAGAAGTTGTGTCTACATACAAAAGAAAAATGAAATATGTTAGCAAGTCTATATCAGTTTATTCAACAGGATAGAAGTTGTGGGAGGAAAAAGCACTTTTTGCTGTGGAAAAAGTTCAGGTTACAATAATGCAGTACTGTAACACTAGCCCAATCTGTCAGCTTTCAAAGAATAATATGAAGTTCTATTTAAGATACATGGACTTGGAAAAACTGTTAAAGAAAAGGGAAGAATTGGTCAATAGATTTGCATATATTATACATTTTACAATGCTGCTTGGCTGATAGGGAAAACTGTATAAAGTTTCTAAGGAAAAAAAAGTGGCAACTGATTGAGGAAACTCAGATCCTGCGGCTAAACATTTTCTCTAGTAAAAAAAAGTAAGCATCCAAGACTCTGGATGCCACAGAGGCCACTAGAAGCAGGATGATGCAAAATAATTTAAAGAAATGACCTTTATCCTTCATTTCAGGTAAAGTTTACACTCATATCTGCATCCTACCTATTTGCATGAATGCTGACAATACCTCTTCTGTTCTCAGGGGTGAGACTTGAATGATTTATGAATTACAGCAGCAATGAAAGGGAAAAGGTTTAAAGTTCAAGACAGTAATCATCTTGCCTAGAAACCAGACACGTTGCACAACCCACTGTTGAGTTATACAGTAATAGACAGCAAGGCAGAAGCAACGTGCTAGACGTCTACAGTCACCACTACGGAATATCCGGGTTCTTAATGTTTTTGAACTTCAGCTTGACATATATAGGCATTTCTTTGCAGTTCTTCTACTTCAGCCTAACAATTCTTTAGTTAATATGTTTATTACCAAGTGACAGATAGTTCTACAAAACATTACATGACTTTGAAGAAATTCTGTTTCCTAGCTGACAAAAAAGCCCAAACCAAAACCAACCACAACCTCCCTAAAAAACACAACCCAAATCACAAAACAGTACTGAGAACTTCAACATGAGAGAGTCCTAAACGGCTTCGCAGAACCATCTCATAAACATGGAAACTATTTTCCCCCTCCTTTGCTTAATTAGAGCTTTTAGAGCTTCCTTGGCTCATACAATTTCCGCTCCGCCGAGCACTTATTTAACCGGGTAAATGACCAAACGACGTGCCAGGCAGACCGAGTCGCTCCATGTATCGAGTGCACTCGCCCACGAGTGCACACGCACAATCACACTGGGGACTATTAAGGTGGACCTGGACCCCACCTGGCACGGGCACTGCCACCGCCTGCACTTCAGCACCTGCCCCACTGCCTGCCCTGAGCCGCACCGGGCGCAACGCAGTATTCAGACAAAATAAATTGTATCAAGCTCTGCAAAAGCTCACACACTGGGAAATTGTTGGGAAAGGTGAAGGTTCCGCGCGGGGAAGCAAGCGGCCGACTCCGTGTGGATGATACAGCACGCTCCAACTTTATTGTCTGACA